TATGTGAACAACCACCCACGAACCACAAATGTAACAATGTGAAAAAAGCAGCACCGGTCTAGATCTTGGAGCTGCAGACTTGGTGGCACAGCATCCTTCATTTCAGAGGTATTTCTTTTTCACCTGGCCACCACTTCAATTTTCCACCAATCATGCCTGATATTCTGACACATCAAAGATGCCAGCATCATTCAAGTTAGCTTGCTTTCGGTTCCATCAACCTCCAAGAGGAAGGCTGACTATGACACAAGATCTCTAGGCTGACAAGGGACACGACCATCACCAGCATAAGTTATTAGTTCATGTATTTAACATTTGAACCATATAGTAAAATGAAAACGCATGTATGTTGCTATCAGTGGAGGAATTGGCCTTGGCAATGATTTCACTCATACTGAATAGCTGCCAACTGCTTCACTGTGGACTCAAAGATAAAGACCATTTAGGTGGGGCATCCTTGTTCTTGAAGAATATTCCTGCAGCAGTCAGTGCTTTAATGAGAAGGAAATGAAAATAAAAGGAAAATGCTTGGCAACAGTGGGATATAAGGGCGAAAAAAAATCAACTTGTGAAACAAACTCACAGGCATTCTTCCCAGCATAGTTTGCTGAATTACTTTCTCTGATCCCACAGCTGCTTGGTTGCCTCCTCCACACTTAATTCCAGCCTTCTGACTGCTACCACTGTTCTGACTTTTTTTTTAGCTCTTTCAGTTTTTGACTTCCCTATGGTTTCTTCCCTAGACAATTTCTCCGCAGATTCTTTGTTTTGGCCAGACTGGCTTGCATTCAGGCGCGTGAGTGTATTATAACGCTTTGCAGTTTCCATTTCAGCAAAGGAGGAGGAAGACAAGTCAAATTTAGAAAAAAGATAAAGGAAAAAAATGCACCAGAAAACAAAAAGTGGGAAAGAAGTTCACAGTAGCTCATGAATAAAGAAGAGTATTTGAAAAGTAAACAAGAAAGCAGGAAAAGTGAAGGAAAAGTAATGTGAAGAGAAGCAAAGTGGGAAGTGCAAAAACTACAGAGGCCAATTAGAATATATGTGTGTGTTGCTATGTATACATATGTAAATAGTATCTGCAGTATCTACGCACTATAAATATATCAAGTAACACAAGAATATAGTACAAAAACACTACCAAAATGCATTAAAATATAATCTAAATATATACACAGACAGAACATATAGTTTCTCATTCGACATGCAGAATTGACAACCTGATTAATAACCAACTCCCTATCACATTACACAAATATAATGTGCTGATTCCTACTGTCCAAAATGGCAATCATTGTCAGTACAAAACCTGGCCTAATGCAAATCTCAGTACACCTCAGACCAGAGAAATGAAATTTAACAAAGGAGGAGGATTGAACTCAAAACAGTCACCAAATCTTGGAGTTCAGATGATGGTAGATTTGCAAGAATTTAGGTTTGTGACATTACTTAAACATTGGTTTAGATTACAGTTTTTTACTCAATCCCAGTAAACTCAATTGTTACTCATAAGTACTGCAGTTTATATAAACCAGCAAGTACTATTGAAGAAAATGCTCAACTATCCTCTAATGCTTGGATTGTGTCAAAATGATAAAATTTGGTGTCATCTATCTGCTCTTACATTATGCTACCTCAACATTGCACGGAATATGGAAGATAAATCAGGTAAAGGTAAAGTCGCCAAAGTTTTACCAGATCATAGGGGGCTGTTTCCTCATTAGAGAGAGACAACTGGTGGTAGTTTATAATCTGTGCGTCAGGTTGGGGCTAAGGGAGAGGTTGAGAAGGAGAGTCCTTCATGGTAACTTCAACCAGTGGTGGGAATTGAACCTATGTTGTTGGCGTTACTCTGCATCAAAAACCAGCCATTCAGACAACTATGCTGACTGATCCCCAGGAAGGTAAATTCATATTATTTTGAAAGACGAGGGTAAACTAATGATCTTGAATATTTACTTTGGAACATGTATGCAAGGAGATCCACTTTGCAAAAGATTTCCTGACACATTTATTTATTAATTAGGTAAATTCTGTGCATAATGTGACCTGTTAAAATGAATTTCCAGGTTAGACAAGCTTATTTTAAAAAAAATCAGAACCATAAAAGGCACTGTTCTAAGATGTGGCATATCCTTCATCTAAGGTTTTGGAGTAGATTTGTAGCTCGGGTTGTGGGTGTTGAGGTTGTTGAGGTTGGTTGAGATCCCTTGAGATCCCAACATCCCCTGCAGAGACTGCGAGAAAGACTACACCAACTGGCTACAAAAAAGACCAATACTCACTCATCTCAATCCACATGGACAAGGAGAACCACAACTTCGACTGGGACAACACCAAGATCCTGGGACAGGCTAGGCAGAGACAAGCACGAGAATTCCTGGAAGCATGGCACTCCACGAAGCATGCTATTAATAAACACTTTGAACTCGACCCCATATACATTCCACTACAAAGGAAAACCAGAAGTGAGGCAATCCATCTCAACGGACCCCAGAGTTTAAAAACCAGGCGGGAAAACACACCGACGCTTCATCGGAGGCTGCACTAAGGATGTTACCAAGCACAGTAGCAAAACGTCTGCAAAACAAGAAACCAGCTCGGCGAGCCAACCAACCTCAACAACCTCAATATCCTTCATCATTGTAAAACATTAGCTAATTTCAGTGAATTTGTAATCTCTTTCATCAGCAGCGTGTCAAGCCTGTGTGACTTTAAAATCTATGAATCCAAATATTTGACAGTGACTTTGGTTGTAGCAATAATTACTTGCATTAATAAGTGCTCTTGAGTTTGTAATTAAATAGCATCACAATTCTATGACCAATGATAACATCTGTTGACTTAAGAAAAGGCACAAACAAGCCTTTATAACTATATAAGCACTCATCTCTTGAGGTAAAATATTTCTGATGAACTTTTGATAAAATATAAGGAAGAGGCATTTAGGCTGTAACTACACAACAACTGTGCACCCTCAATAGTTTGTCCAGGAGCTTTGATGTAAAAGCAGTTGTGTAATTTGGGATATAGTTGCTGCACAAAATTGAAGCTATGAACCCAAGACAAAGAAGACCACCACAAGCAGATAAACATACACCATTATATCTCTTCTCTGGCGTTTTCAATAGGCCCAAGCTATCCACTGGATCTATTAAACATTTTAAAACTTTTATTGTGCAAACGTTTGTGTCTTGTTGGAAGCAGTATACTTGTTGGTTTGCTCGTAACATTAAAAGCGTACAGCCATGCTACTGAGCTCCAAGCATCCGGCAAAATATTGCAATGCTTCTTTGTCCCTGAGCTTAAAGACATGCAGTTGGTGGCATAAATGAGGACTGCCAACTGTATCACCTACCAACTTTACGGAAACCAAATAACAGTAACTTAAGACAGTGTTTATGCACTGAAAGAAAGCTGTTCTGAAAAGGACCTCAGGAGTTTGAAATGCTTTTTCTTGTAAATTTGCCAATAATTCCATCTTAAACCGTATATCTAATGACTATCCAATTGTCAGAATGTTAACTAGGACTACTCACTGATGATTCCACTGTCGTCAGTTCCATTCACAATTCTTCTGATGAAGAATCAACCCATGCCAGCAAAACATGGACAGCATCCAAACATAAACTTACAAGTGTTAGGTTACATTTGTGCCAATTATGAAACAGACAATAATCATACCCAATAAGAAAAAGTTTAACTTTTTCAATCTGAAATGCAAAGCATGGCCATGGCTGAATTCCAGTTCTTTGGAGTCACTATTGACAGGTGGTTTAGTCAGACCAACTATGCTAACACTATGACTACATAAACAGGTCAGGGAACAGAGCCTCGCCTTGGTATCCTGTATTGTCTGATTGCTTAACTACTCTGTTCAAATTAGGAGTGTGATGGAATTCTCACTTACCAGCTGAATGCTGACACCTCAACAACAGCAAAGAAGTTTAATATCATTCAGGAATAAATATTTCATTTAATCAATGTTCCACTATTAGACTCATTCAGCTCTCTGTGTAACACTTGGACACACTGTCTGCAATTTGTATACTCTATAGGGTGACTGCAGGATTGTATTCTTTCATGGAATCTGGGTGTCATTGGCAAGACCAGCATTTATTTTCAGGCCTCCCAGCCTGATGGTTAGCAACTCCTTTGTCTGTCCAACTGTCTTTCTCTCTCTTTGGGCTCTATCCTATCGTTTACTCCCTATCCCACCCACCTCCCCATTTTCTGTATATAAACTGATGTTTTCCCAGCCACCATCAGCTCTGAGGAAGGGTCACTGACCCGAAACGTTAACTCTGTTTTCTCCTCCACAGATGATGCCAGACCTGCTGAGCTTTTCCAGCAACTTTGTTTTTGTTCCTGATTTACAGCATCCGCAGTTCTTTTGGTTTTTATTTATTTTCTGTCCCTATTTACTCTTGACAGGGCGGTGAAGTGGCATCTTCTTCAATCACTGCAGCACCTCTGGTGTAAGTACACTCACAGTGTGAGTGTGAAGGAAATTCCTGGATTGGAACCCAATGCAGTTGAAGGAATGGTGACATAGGTCCAAGACAGGATGGTATGTCGCTTGGAATGGAACTTTAAGGAGTGCGGGAACAGGAAACAGCAAGCCAAGCTTATTCAACAGCACATCCCAGTCTAAGCACCACAAAAAGCACAAGGGCAGCAATCATTGTGACATCATCACTTCAAACAGGACTGTTCTGACTTGGACATTTAATAATTCTTCAACAACACTGTATCAAAACTCTCAAATTCCTAAGTGACTCTAGTTTGGGAGCATTAACAATACAGTGATTGCACCGATGCTAAAGAAATACCCCCTTGCCTACATTTGGAAGTAAAAGTAAACATACTTTGAAGGTGCAATGCAATGAACCATCTTCTCAATATATAGTTAATAATAAAAGACCATTAGGGTCAATATTCTCTGTTCCCTTCACTGATTCAAATGCCTGTGCAGGATTTTTAATTGACTACACACTTACCCAGTATCCAACTTTCTGATAAGTGTTGATTTCCAGGAGGTCTCTTTCCCTTGTACTGTCCAATACAAATTCCAGCTTTGCGTAAAGTTTTGCACACCTTGCCCCCACACAACTGAATCAATTTCTCGAGCATTAAGGTAGGCGGTTCACTTCTGGGTGAAATGAAGATCAGAGGCTGATTTGCAAATAAATCCTGTTGATAGGGTCCTATTGCTGACTGTTTTTCTAATCTGCAGATCTGTTAATAGAAGAAAAATACATTTTAGATATTTCTACTGTGCAACATTTAACACTGAAAATAATTTACAGTTAAGTCGATATCAATTTATAAAATGCATAGCCGAAGAGCCAAGTTGTGAATTGTGGCTAAATTGTAGCAAACTTCCCTGAAGAAAATTGCTTGGTTTATTGTTACGACTCACATAAACTCTGTTAGGTTTTGCCATATCACACAATCAATCTCAATTAATTTCTATTGAGATTTAGGGGTTGGGAGTGTAGAGGAGTGGGGATTTTTGATCTTAAGTTCATTAAGACTTGTGTCCAGGACCAATCAATTAGTTACCATCCTGGATTTTCATGATAATTTTGGATTGATGAGAATATTTATCTGCATTGATCACAATGTTTGTTGTTTGTTCTTTGCAAGATTTTTTTCAATAGTGGTCACATGTCAACAAGGATGCTCCATTATTGTACAACAGGAAGGTCTCGTCTATCTCCTCTCATTGGAACTGAATATACAATCAATAGCAGTTTCAGGCTATTAATCATTTGAAATATTACTGCTCATTAAATACAAATGAATGAAACAAGCAGAAATTCTGATTTGGATCAGCGGTGGAGACTGGGAACAGGAGGAACGTAAAATAAGTCTCTAAAAGTAGCAAGCCCATTTGCTAGCACATTCCTCTCACTGGGCCATTTGAGAAATGATGGCTGGTGGGGGTAATGGCTACCTGCCCAAGTGGGGGGTAGCCAATAAAAGCATTCAAATTGACTGTTAAGGGAATTGAAGACATTCCAACTAAAACTTTCCAGTCAACCTTTGGGACTCCATTGTGGCCTCATCCTGGCAGCGGGGACGGTGTGTGTGTGTGTGTGTGTGTGTCTGAGAGGAAATACTCCCAATAACCTTTTTAACCTCCTCTCCCTGTAAGCCCATGTTATGGAGTCAAATTGGCAGATTATACAAAGATAGGAAGGATGGCAAGTTGTGGGGAGGATACAAAGAATCTGCAAATGGGCACAATAGGTTAAGCTAGCGGCAAGAAACATGGCAGATTGATTTTCAAATGATTTATCTTTGAAATTTTGCTGATGTCTAGTTTTGTATTTCATTAACCAAAGATGATCAATTAAAATCAAGTTAACCATCACCATTCTGGTTTCTGAAATAGCCTCTTAATTTATCATTGTCATTGACGTATCTGGGGTTTCATTGATCATCTGTGCATTTGAGACTGGTAGTAGGCTAGCTATAATTTGGAGCTGGTTGGAAACAGACAATCACAATAAGCAATAATGATGCTCTTAAACTGATGGTAAGCACATCATTAGATTTAAATGGGACGAGACATCCTGAAGACTTTGTAATATCTGAAGTAAAATAACTCAAAACTCTACAACAGGTATGATTATGATAGAAGATTCTCCTAAGTTTTGGTCATAAATTCTACTGTGTTGATCTCTTTTCTCAATGTGCATGAAATCTGTTTTTTTTCCCTCTCCTTCATGCAATGCATCATTGTAATGATACTTGGCATGGTTAGGCAGCTAACAGTTTTCAGAAAAACACGTAACAAACCCAAATTTGAATTGCATGAATCTAAGTCTAGTAAAAAGTGGTACAACGATTACATTTGTATGATGAAACTTTGGAAGCAACATTACCAACTATGGGTACGAGTAAAACCCAAGATCGCAGATTGCATTCCCTTGCTGTGCCTCAGAGCTGCCTGTTGGCAGAATTAGTGGATTTGTTTCACAAATCACTCAGTGTGATAAAAATGCTGATTGTAACAATATATTTTGTACTTAGAGATAATATTCCGTTGGGAATGCTTGATAAAATACTTGGCAATTGATTCCAGATTTTGGCAGATAGACAACAGTGTTTGAAATATTTTCAGATTAAAAAAAAACATGCACAATCTCTAGATTCTCCTTTTTAAAAGTTTCCATTGGTTGTACTATAGACTATATAAAAGAAAGAATTTTTAAATGTACTCCTCTTTCACAGGAAGAAATCATGTTAAAGAGAAAACAAATTCTTAGAAACAGAAACAGCTGAGTCAACATATTTTTAAACAGGTGTGGCCAGTCTTTGCCTTTTGATTTGGAACTGAAGTTTTTCTCAGGGGCAGAAAGACTGAATATATGATAAAGTTATCCTTCTGCATAAACCTGACCAAAATTCCAAGAGGCAAGTTTATTATTGAACCATCACTGGGTGCATGATTGATCTCTTTCACAAATAACTAAGACATGCAAACATTCTGACAAAATAAGGGTCCAAAATATCATCAGAAGGTGCACCAACCCCAGCTTGGAACAATAAGGGATCAAAAATAACTGCAGTTTTAGAAGTGTTGCTCATATCCTGAGAATAAATTCAAGAAATGCAGCAGCAGTCTGGGATCTGGAGTAACAAAATATCAGGACACATTTGTAGATCACTATAACAGAATATCCAGTAATTTGTCTGTAAATACTTAAACTTATACTTGTTACATACAAATGAAAGAACATCACAAAGCTTCCCTTAGAAAAGGTAATGACAGGTTATTTGGGATTGATGTGTTTAACATAATTAGTCATTTGGACATCAATCGACTAGCGATCAAGGGGGATCCAAGACGAAATGCAAGGTCAGTAGGACATGGAAACACAAAAGATATGCCTAGTTTTGGAAGAGGGATAGAAGAGATATGCTTCAAAGGTAGTTTGTATCAGAATCAAACTTGTACACAGAATTTGCTTTGAGGAAAAGAAGTACATGAGGTCCCATTACCAATTTTCAAGATGCTACAGTTTTAGTATTGCACTTCTGCTTCAATGTAATTGTAAAATAAACCATGGCCTTATAAACATCAATTATATAAACAAGAAAGAAGTTTCTCCTGAGATTTTCTGTTTAAAAAAAAGCTCCATATTAACATGTTCCCAAATGCAATTCATATATTGTATCTATAAATTATATGGAATGCTAACTTTTTAAATATATATAACAATACCTAATTTAAATAATAATATATCTATATAAATACATATTTCAATAAATTAAATACAAACTGTGGAACCAGAGGACAATATTCATTCAGCTCTTTACCAACATGCATAATTAAATCTGTCATTTAATCCCCAGGGTATCAATTAATCCCAGGTAAAATCTGCACCCTTCCCACAAAGTGGAAGGAAATGAGAAACTTGCTAGCTCTCGTTAGATCACTGCTGGAGGTGAACTGGATCCCTGATTATTTTTAACACAAGTGGTAACTATCATGCAATCCAGTCAAAACTGATTAAAATTAGTATTGTACTTACATTGCAGAGGGGTTGATGGCCAGTTATTAATTCAGCCATTGGCAAGATATGGAAAAAGGATTTGTTTGAAGAGCACACATCATCTAAATTTGGACATGTTTCGCATGATTTATGGTCCATTCATTTTCTTCAATTTATTTTAATGGATAGAAAATCATTGGGAGGATGGTGGATAAGGAAATGTGCCTCAATTCTCACTATGTGTTCCTGACATGTGACATATTATACCAGGAGAACTGAAGATAAAAATTTCAGCCCATGTCTTTAGACTAGTCTATCAATCCATTGGTGACATATGCCATCTGCACATCATATCAATGCAAATTATGTTCTGTTCACTTTGTACAGTTTTATGAAAATGGAGGGAGATAAAATTAACCCCGAAATACTGTAAATCTTAATTTGTTTGCAGCATATTTTTGTATTTAAACCGGGGTTGATTCAGTTAAAATAAATGAATAATAAATTATAACATCCAACACCCTTCCCAGTTATAGCGTGGGATTTTATTAACCAGATGGGGGACTTGTCCACAGTGAGAGAACTGATGGGGAATACTCGTCAGTTCTGTGGTTGAAGCCTGATGGTATTAAGCGCTCAGGCAGGGTGGATCCTGTTGGGTTGTTCCCTGAGCAGGCTGTCAGTCACTTGGCAGAATGCCTCATCACCAGAACTTTCCAACAGACCCTAGGATATTGCTTAGCTGGTGGTGAGAAGGGCACTATCTGTGACATTCTTCATGTTTGTCTGGAATCTCTGTGCCACTGCATGCTGTCATCAAAGTGGCTACGGGGTGGGGGGAATTTGAGACTGTCACACATCTCCTTCTTGAATGTACCTTTGCAAAGGAAGTCTGGAGAAGGATGCAGTGAATCTTGTTGACGTAGGACTCTGTGGTCTACGATCTGTTTCCTGGGACGCACACTGAGATAAAATTTGACTGTGCGTGGAGGACAATTAACTCGGTGAAAGACACTCTTTGGTCTGCCCGAAACTTGTTGGTCTTCCAGAGCAAGAAGTTGACCTTGACTGAATGTTGCAGTGTGGCACATTCCAACGTCCAGGACCATGTGCTGAGAGCTGCACTAAAGCTCAGGGCAGCTGCTGGTTTGTTTGCTGGATACTGTTAAACTCTGATGTTTGTTTGCTTTCTTCATATGCTACTATACAGAACTAAACTGCTTTAGTAACTATATATGTATATAAAGATATTTTTATGAACAAGGTATATTTTTGAAATAAAAAACAGTGCTCATGTAGGTGACTACTGCTAGGTCTTTGCCAGGATTTAGGAGCCTAGAGGTGGACATCTCACTTGCAGAGAGATGCTAGCAATTCTCAATCCATACCAGTATATTACCCCATAATCCAGCATGTTTTAATTCTGCCCACTAACCTCTTATGTAGGACCTTGAAATTCAAATACACCACAGGCACTAATTCTCCTTTATCTACTTGACTAGTTACATCTTCAAAAAACTCCAGTAAATTAATTAAGCATGATTTCCCTTTCATAAACTCATGCTGACTTTGTCTAACATGGTTAATTGTTTCCAAGTGTTTTGTTATCACATCTAGGAGAGGGGCTTCAGGCTGTTGGTCCTAGGAAATTGGGAGGGGTGTGGTGGGGAGCTGGGACAAGGATCTGGCTTTCGGTGACATTTCCCACCTTGATCCACTGGTTCCCTTGAT